ACTCTTAAGCACAACATGAAGCACTGGCTATCTTTTCGGCTGGTCGATCCACAAGGACCATACCTGATGGATTTGGTGCCTGCTGTAATCGAGGCAATCTCTTGGCTGTGGGACAAATCAGTTAGTAATAAACACTGTAAAGAAAATGCATCATACAATCAAGTTACAACAAATTGATATGGCTAACATGTTACAAGGGAGAAAAAAAATATGCAATCTTCAAAAATCATAATCACCAAATTCACATTAATTTTGTTTTCTCTAATTGTGTAAGGTGTACATGTATGACACTTTGATGGCGTATTAGCAATTCCAAAATTTAACAGGAGAATTTCGTAATTAACTGAAACCTCGAGGGCACCTTTTGTAATTATTGAAAGAAACTATAATCGGAAGCGCAAGTCAGCAGCTAACTGAGGCCAGAAAAAGGGCTTCGAGCTTATTACTCTTACCTATCTCATAAAATACGTCGTTGACATTTGTTGCTGTCTTTGCAGAAGTTTCCATGAAGAAAAGACCATTCTCCTGGGCATAAGCTTGTGCTTCCTGTAAGGATAATAATAATGAGAAAAATATTAATAATATAAAGCATGCAGTGTAAACTAAGCGTATCATTTCACAACACAATTTTGTTCTCCCAAAATAGAAAAGAATATATTTGCATTATCTTCTAATGAAAGTTCCCCCCCAATCTGAATAGAACTTGTGATACCCTTAGCTACTATCTTTCTATGATTTATCAACTTCCTGCAAAAATTAGATTGCACTTTGAAGAAAAATTTGATAACAACTAACAAGCCAGACTTAATAGTATGGCAAAAAGGATGGAAAACAATATTGCACAAGTTCAAGAGTATGAGAGATACACGTAAGATGGAAAAAGGGATAGATTGCTTGCCTCTGCTTCAACTTTTCTTCCATCCAACAAATCCGATTTATTCCCAGCAAGTGCCATAACCATATTTGGATTACCTTATGCCAGAAAAACAACAGGGATCAGCATTTAAATATAACTTCACTAAAAAAAAATAAATGGAAAGAATAAGCCCTGAACTATAAACCTACATTAGTCAAGTATAAAAAAAAGATAGCAGTTGCAACATCTAGACACTAGGGCTTGCTTGTTTACAAATATTTTGGTATTTGATTGGTTTTTTTTTGTTAACCATGGTTAATTTTGAAAAAATTGGTATGGTTAGTTGTTAGTGAGATTTTAAGTTTGTATTAAAATATTATTTAAATTAAAATGATTAAAATTGATTTGATGTAAAAGTAGGAGATGGATGATTGGAAGTGAAATGTAGTTAAATCACATAATGATGTGTAAGAATGATCTATTGATATTATTTAATTATTTTGATAATACTGAGGATAGAGGGGTTGAGTTAGATTTTGAGTTGAGATTAGAATTTTTTTTTTTTGTTTTGTTTTGTTTGGTATATTTGTAAACAAACACACTCTTAATAAGCAGAAAAACACTTTCACTAGGATGAATTATAGGCAACTTAAACATGCTTCTGTTGTACATCGAAGACCATTTCTCAAAGCATGGTGCAATACAAAGACTGATATTTCATTTAATACAAATATAACATGTTTTTTTATGCACTTGATGCTTACTCGGTTTGTGATATCATAAACAATAATGGCTGCAGCAGCTCCCCGGTAGTACATTGGAGCTAAGCTGTGGTACCTCTCCTGACCAGCTGTATCCCATATCTCGAATTTTACAGTTGCATCATTCACAGCAACTGTTTGGGAAAAAAATGCAGCTCCGATAGTTGATTCCTACATCAGATGGATTGGTTCACCTCAATAGAGCCCACGAGAAAAATCTGATTTGATGTACCAAAGATTAACATCATTAACTAATACATGGCACCAGTGTTTACCAACCTGAAACTCAATGAACTGCCCCTTCACAAAACGCAACACCAAACTAGACTTTCCAGCTCCAACATCTCCAAGGAGCACCTAGAATCAAATAAATGCCCGTCAAACTTTAGTAAAAGGGACAAAAACACCAGTTGCTATAACTAATCGTAAACAGTGACATTGATATTAAATTGTTACGCCTGAAAACATGACATAGTAGAGCAATCAAATATTTTCACGCAATGAGTCATCCCAAGTCCCAACTTACAATATTTTCAAGAATAGCATTACCTGCATTGAATGCACAAATTCACAATCTAATGACCATTCAGAAGGCTAAAATCACTAGCACTAATTATAATGTTCCAATTACGGGAGTTGATGTTGCTTATTATTTGTTCGAAGTGTTTCCTAAAAGATGCTGCAAGCCTGCAAGTCATACTACTTTTCACAGCTAACTTGATCGACTCATCTATATAAACAAGTGATGATGCAATTCAGAATCAAAAGCGATGTTCACTGAACTTCCAAGAAAGTTGGCCCATGGCCCACCAACATTTTCCAAATGCCGGGAACACAGAATTATTGTGATTTTAATAATCCAATTCTACTTCATTACATTAAAAACTATATCTAGCAACTAGTGTATAAACTGCTATCAGACGAGCAATCCTAACCAGCTAATTGCTACACAGTGACAGTCTACACATACCATCAAGTAATCATCCCAGTTAAACAAGATTAGATACAATCAACAATCACCCATGGTTAACTTCAAGGAAATTTCTAACTGGGTATCCATGCAAGTTTATCCATCTATTGTCAACACAAAGTCGAAGAACAAAGATACGATTTTGATATCCAAGGATTGGAATTTCACTAGGAAACGGTAGCCCATGACCACCTAAATGCATAATTGAATTGATAAAACGAATATAAAGAAGTATACAGTAATCGGGGGGAAAAATTAGAAATTTGGACAAAGTACAGATCAGCTAAGCGTTCACATTCTTGTTGCCACTGGGCATCGTCAGCCAAATACTTGTGATTTCCATGTTCTAATTATACTTCATTATGTTCAAAGCTATATCTAGAAGCTGGTGTATTTAAACTACCATCAAACAAGTAAACCTAACAAGCTAATTGCTACACAGTCTACACAGACCACATCATGTAATCGTCACAGCTAAACCAGATTAAGCACGATCAACAATCACCCAAACTTCAAGAAAATGCCTAACTGAGTATAACCCAGAATGTATTGTCAAAACAAAGTTGGAAAAATAATGATGCGATCTTCATAATTGGGGTCAGAAATTGGTGAAATTCACGAGAAAACAAGCAGCCCATAAAAAACCCAAATGCAAAATCGAATCTAGAACAAGAATATACAAAATTATACAGCGATTGGGTGGCAAAATTAGAAAATAGGTCAAAGAACAAACCAGCTTCGCATTGATATTCTTGTTGCCGCTGGACGCCATCGGCCAAATTCAGGTACAAAATCGACGAATGAATCTGGCGAGGGTAGACTTGCAGTTCAATTGACGCAATTAGTTCCGATCAAAGGTAGAAAGAAATTTTGAGCTTTAAGGGTATCTATGAGTTGACGCGAAGAAAAAGAGAACTTGAAAACCGAATAACGACGTCTAGAAGGGGTAGAAGACGTGATGTAAATTTCGTCTGTTTGTAATTTTTTTTTTCTTTTTTCTTACGGATTTTTTCCTGTTCTTTGTTGACAGGACTTCGTTGAAGTTTCTAATTTCTATATTGCAAAGTATAAAAAATAAAATGTAATACAATTTAATAAAAGGTGGATATATATTCCCAACATCAATTCAGAAAAAGGAAGAACAAATATGTATACTGTATTAAACTGTGGCTAGTTTATTTCTGGAACTTTCTTATTACATTGTACTTTGTAATATTGATGATCCAAAGCACTTAAATAAGCTAACAGTTAGACAACATATTTTTTCAATGAGTATGTAAACTTGTAAATTAAAATAACATACTCTAAAAAAAAATAATATTAATAAAAGATAATATTTTATCAAATAGGTATAATTTTTTTTTTTTAAAAAAAAAAGGATGATATATTGTCATGCTTAACCATTAAATTCCAATAACTGTGATGGTTTTAAAATGGCCAAGTAGTACAACTAATATTCGACCCTGTGTATTTCCACATTTATAAATAAAATATTATGAGTTATTTGTATGCATAATAATATTAAAATTATAAATTAGATAATGATATTATATTTTAAACATAGAGTATAAGTTATATTTATGAATATAATATTAAAATTATAAGTTAGATAATGCTCTTATGTTTTAAAATTTAATCATTAGTTAAAATAAATAGTACATAACGATTTGATTGCATATGAATTACTATATTGATTGCATAAAATGTAATAAATAATGTAATATTTATAATTATCAAGAATTATGACAATTAATTAGTTGAAAAATATTAAATTTATTATAACAATTGTTTATGCGCTTTTAAGAAATTTTACTATGACATTAAAACAAATTAATTTATTTAAAAAATAGTCACTTAATCAGATAAAAAAATATAATATTAATTTAAATTAAATAACTTGAACAAAAAAGTTCACAATATATTTTTTCATGTTTATGTATTTTTCATATATCATAGTGTAAAATATAATTATTAATTTTAATAATAACTATTATATGATACAATAAAAATTATAATTATTACTCACTTTATATAAAATTTAAGTTGTTTTTGTCTTAATTAACCTAAAAAAAAGTGCAACAAAATACTTTATCATTAATGGGATATGGTGGATTAATGTAGTGGTAGTGGTAGTGGTAGTGGTAGTAGTAGTGGTGGTAGTGGTGGTGGTTGTAGTAGTAGTAGTAGCAGTAGTAGTAGTAGTAGCAGCAGCAGCAGCAGGGCCGTCTCCAACATTTTTTGGGCCCAGAGCGAAAAATAAAATTAGGCCCCCCTAATTACAATATTGAATAATATATTTTTAATATTTTATTAATAACAACTTCCACTTCTCAAGTAGGAAAGAACCTCCCCCGGATAGACAAAACACAAAAGGCTCTTTCTATATATTATTATATTTTTTATTTATATTATTATATATATAATATTTTAATATTTATATAATGGACCCCAATTAATTCGGGGCCCTGTGCAGTTGCTCACACTGCTCCCCCCAAAAGCCGGCTCTGAGTAGTAGTAGTAGTAGTAGTAGTAATAATGAATTGTAACGGTTTTTGTGTTAGAACGTTGTCACATAAGTAAAATTTATTTTCATTTTTAGTAGCCATACACAGCAAGGCCCAATATATTAGGCCCAAAATAAGACGTACTCCTATACTAGTCCACGCATATTCTTTTCGTATTTGATCAGTTCTCCTCACTTCTCAGCTTCCACCACCTTCTCCTTCTCCTTCTTCTCCTTCTCCTTCTCCTTCTCCACTTGGCGGCCAAATTTTCCTGTAAAAATTTCAGAGGCTCATAAAATTCATGGCTGAGATGGAGAGAAATTCTTGTCCCACGCAGCTTGTTGCCGGAAACGGCGAGTTCAATTCACCCGGGTTGCGAGATTTCATCAATTCCGTCAAGCTCAGCGAGTGTGGCCTCTCGTATGCGGTTGTTGCAATTATGGGCCCACAGAGCAGCGGTTTGTATGCCCTTTTCAGTTGTCGTTGTTTGTTCTCTTTTTTTTTGGCGGAGTTGTCGGACCTTTTGTTGAATAAACCGAGCAGCTTGTAGAGTGTTCGAGTGTTGAGCTATGGTGATTTGTGAGGGATTCCAAATGAATGTTGTTAACTTTTTAAAATTGGTTTAGGCTAGTTAATTTGGGAATTATGTCTGTCACAGCTGGTCTATCTTGATTGTTCAAAGTTGAGAATTATTTTGTGCTTGGCATTTGTGCAATGGGCTTAGCTGCTGAAATGTTGATTCAGCATTAGCTACTGTGGAAGTTTTCTTTAACTAAAGTATGTTGTGTGTTTTGTTGCTACAACTTGGATCTCCAAGTACTTCAGAATTGTTCAGTTTGTGCAGCTCGAAATCTCAAATGACTGAATAGTTGTCGTTATAGATATTGATTCTGGTTATACGTTTATGTATATTTTTTTGGTGACAATCTTGAATTCCTGATTAATTAAAAGCTGTAAATTATTGCCATAGATTTTACTGTCACGGTGGTTATGATTGGTTTACTGATCCTTTTTGTTCTTGTTAATCATTAAATACCCAGGGAAAAGCACACTGTTGAATCATCTATTTTTTACGAACTTCAGGGAGATGGATGCTTTCATGGGAAGGTTAGAATGCTTTTCTCCAGTTTATGGTGTTATACTGTTATATGTCTAGAGATATTGCCGTCGGCATCATTTGTGAATATGCCACAGATAACTTGTTAAAAGTTAATGATTTCTGTTATATGACTAGGAGCCAGACAACAAAGGGAATATGGATAGCCAAGGCCGTTGGCATTGAGCCATTCACAGTTGTCATGGACTTGGAGGGTACAGATGGCCGTGAAAGGGGTGAGGTATTTTTTCTCTTATGTTATTTTATACATTATATTTTTTATGGGTAAATTGGAAATAAGTAACTGCTGTCGGATTCATGTTGTTCTTTAACACGTATATACTATGACCATGAACTTGTTTGAATACAGTTTGCAGTTGGATATCGGGTGCTGATTTATTCGTTTATTTTAAATGATTTCAGGATGATACTACATTTGAAAAACAAAGTGCGCTGTTTGCTCTAGCAGTTGCAGACATTGTTCTCATAAACATGTGAGTTACCAAGTTTTGAGCTCCATGGTCCTTGGTCATAATGTGGATGACGAGTGTATGTAGTCTATCATTTTCCTGGGTTGTATGTATGTAGGTCGAGCTCGACTTTCTCTGTTGAAAATGGGTGACATAATCTGATCTCAATTATATTAAGCATTTAAGGAATCACCTATAACCTTTTCAAATTGTGAACTCATATCTACATGTTGCGGTTGGTGGTTGTAGATTCTTCTGTAAGCAACCTGTATATTCTTGATAGAGTTATAGTTTGAAAACATGGCAGTAATTTATGTTTGCTAGCAATTATAGGGTACTTTTGTTATACTAATACATTTAATTTCTAACAAATTGCTACTGTTTGCAGTTGGTGCCATGATATTGGTCGGGAGCAGGCATCCAATAAGCCCCTTCTAAGAACTGTTTTTCAGGTGCATAGGATTATATCCAAAACTTGTGTGGCAAGTATGTACTTTTGCATAATATTTTGTTTTCCTTGTTTTATAGGTTATGATGCGCCTGTTTAGTCCTCGTAAAACAACGCTTCTCTTTGTCATACGTGACAAAACAAAGGTAATGTTCTAGGAAGACATGTCCTGCTTCCTTAGATGATAGCATTTATGCTTTATTTATTCATTGTATCTCTGTCTTGTAGACCCCAATCGAATATTTGGAGCCTATTTTGAGAGAGGATATACAGAAGGTAATTTGAATTTTGTTCTTTTAAAAGTTAGTTTGTGCGATTGTGAAATTTCTATCTGTGTTAAGGCTCTATCTTTTTTCTTCTCTTTTTTTTAGATATGGGAAAAAGTTCCTAAGCCCATGGCATACAAGGACACTCCTCTCAGTGAATTTTTTTATGTAAGAATAATATGTACCTCCTGATTTCTTTCATGAGTGTAGTCTGGACTATTTTCTTTTCTCTTATTTACTTCTTAAATATGGACTTGAAGGTGGAAGTTACTGCCTTGCCGAGCTATGAGGAGAAGGAAGAACAATTTAAAGAACAGGTAGTTCTAGCTGTCGAAAACTTAATTGGCTTCCTAAATTGGCTGCAATTTCACTACAGCTAAACTGCCTTACAGGTAGCCCAACTCAGGCAGCGGTTTTTCCACTCAATATCACCTGGAGGGCTTGCTGGTGATAGAAGAGGTGTTGTCCCTGCTTCTGGATTTTCTTTTAGTGCAGAGCATATATGGAAAGTTATCAGAGAAAATAAGGACCTTGACCTTCCTGCTCATAAGGTACACATATTTATGTCCAGCCTGAAAAGAGTACTCTAGATTTTTCTTTGTTTTCTGAACTATGCTACTTTTTTCAGATCATGGTTGCTACTGTTCGGTGTGAAGAGATTGCCAACGAGAAGTTCAATCGGTTGGCATCGGATAAGGTTGGTGTTTTTCCCCTTCTTTCTATACTTTCAATTACAAATGGGCAATTGTGAATTTTCGCCTTAACGCAGGATTGGCTGACTATTGAAGAAGCTGTACACTCTGGAGCTGTTTCAGGCTTCGGGAAAAGTATAAGCTCAATCTTGAAGAAATACCTCTCAGAGTAAGCTGAAAATGTCAAATGTAATTGACTCTGTTTCGGGTGTCTATAAAATGAGATGCTTGCGGGGAAATGTTTCTATGCATATAAATTTGGGTTCTATGTGCAACCCGTCGAATTACTTTTCTTAAAAGTTTATATAACTGTCACTCGTACATATACATGAGCTTCTCACAGGTTTCATGACTGTTAAACATGTCCAGCCCGCCAGTACATTTGTAAATTGTTTTTGACTTGTTATTTTATGCTGCCATCCAATAAAGTATAAGTTACACTGAGCTTGGGAAATTCTTCACAACTCATTGGTTGTTTGAGAAATTGATTCGTATCTCATATTCATCTGGGACAGATACGATATGGAATCTACATATTTCGAAGAAGATGTGAAAAATGCTAAACGCCAGTATCTGGAGTCTAAAGTGTTGCAGGTGAGGGTAACACTGTTGCATGTCTTTTTTGTTCAGATAATGGAACAAATATTTCTTGGAAGCAAGTTCCTTACTTGTGTTGTATTATTATTGTTGTTGTTATGTTATTATTATTTTTATTTAATAATAATAATTTCTGAATTTGAGTCTCCCCTACCTATCTATCTGGTTGGTGCATATATTTTTCTTTAAATGGAATGACTAATCTGGGGCTACCTGTGTCTTTTCTGCAGTTGGTCCGTCCCGCTTATGTTGCCATGTTGGGCCACCTACGTTCAAGTGCATTTGAAATCTTCAAGTCAAGGCTTGAACAACTTTTGGTTAGAGGAGAACCATTTGCTGCATCCGTTAATACATGTCAACAGTCCTCTCTGCTTGAGTTTGAACGCGGATGTTCAGGTGCATCACAAAATACGACATGTTATATCTTTCTTTCTTTCTTTCTTTGTTTTTTTTTTGTTCTTTTTTTCTTTTTGTCAAAATCACACAAGCATGCATCGTGAACTTATTCAGTCTCTATTTCCATTTTCCGTTACTCACACTGAACTTCATTTTGTCTTTTTCTCGGTAATGGATTCTTTTTGAGCTTGCAGCCTATCTGGTTTTTATATTCAGTTGTCCTCATAACAAAAGTGGCCCATAAGTTTAAATGATTAAATCCTAGTTTATCATCTGCTCTTATAATGTCTTTTCAATTTTAGATGTTGCCATAGAGCAAGCTAATTGGGATGCTTCCAAAGTACGTGAAAAGCTTAATCGTGATATTGAAGATCATGCATCTCATGTCCGTAGTGAGAGATTGTCACAAGTAGTAGCTGAGTTTGAGGTATTTATTCTTTGTAAAAGGAATAATATTGATCTCTAACCCTTGCTCACTGTCCTTACAAAAATATCTTGGGAGTAATAGAAAATTATACTCTACTTGACTGATATTTTTATGTACAGGAACGACTTTCTGCAGCACTCATCGACCCACTAGAGGCCCTTTTTGAAGGTGGTGGGACAGATACATGGGATTCTATCAGAAATCTCGTGAAGCGCGAGAGCAATAAAGCTGCATCTTCCTTTTCATGTGTGATTGCTGGTTACGAGTTGGATCAGTCAACTGTTGACAAAATGGTGAATAATTTGAAGGAATATGCGAGAAAGTTGGTGCGGAACAAATCTAAAGAGGAGGCTGGAAAAGTTCTGATTCGCATGAAAGATAGGTCTGCTATGTTTCCTCTATACCTGTTCTTTTTTTAAAAAAAAAAAAAATCTGAAACATTGCCTGACATTACCTCTGAAGCCATTAAAAACAAAATAGTAACAGAAGACACTTCATAACTGATCATGCTCATTCATCCTTTCAGATTCGCTACAGTCTTTAACCACGACAAGGACTCCATGCCGAGGCTTTGGACAGGAAAAGAAGACATTAGAGCAATCACTAAGGAGGCCCGTTGTGAGGTAACAAAAGCATGGTTCCATTAATTGTGATATATGCCTAAATTGGTTGTTTTCTAATTAAGTGAGAAATTGTTTGTTTGTCTGACTTTCTTGCTTCTAGCACATGGGAAGAGGTCTTGACGAAAAAAAAAAAAGTCATTTCTATATCCATAATGTAAGCATATTAATTAGTGTCTCATGAGAGTTTAAATTTGTAATAGGTCCCGCCAGAAAATACTTTGATCACACCAGTTCAGTGCAAAGCCTTGTGGAAACAGTTTAAGGCCGAAACAGAGTACACAGTCACCCAAGCAATTTCGGCGCAGGTGTAAATCACAATTGATTTTTTTTTTTATAATTATTATTATTATAGTCTCGTTTACTGTTCTGCTCATCATTTCCACCCTTAATTTTCTTTTGGGTCGTTTATTTTTGGGTTTGTGAATGAAAAAATGTGCTTCCTGCAGGAGGCGTACAAGCGAAGCAACAATTGGTTACCTCCACCTTGGGCTATCCTTGCAATGATTGTTCTTGGTTTCAATGAATTCATGCTTCTTTTAAAGTAATATTCTGTTTTCAATAGTTTTATCACAACGTGATAATCTCTACCTTTTTATTGAGTTTCTATTTTGTTTCGTTTTTTGCTGATGAAACAGGAACCCTCTGTACCTCCTTGTGATATTTGTCTCGTTCTTGCTCGGGAAAGCAGTATGGGTGCAGATAGATATTCCGGCATTGTTCTCTAACGGCTTTGTAAGTGAATCACGCTTGTTTAAATATTGGATTTACATTTACGACCCCACTTTTTTTCTCGTAATCGGTTAATCCTAGCTTTATCGGGCTACACGACATGTATCTAAGAAAGCCATTTTCTGTATGACTCATCCTTTTCGTTATCCTACGTCACACAAGTGGCAAAATTTCCATTGGTTGTGGATGCGAAAAAAATAAAAATAAAAATAAATTGTAGATTACCTTGAGGATGCTAATCAATATTGTTTTAAAAAAAAAAAATAATAATAACAAACATATAAATGCAGAATAAAAAATATAAAAAAGAGAACTGCAAAAGAGGATCCTAATAGCACCGAGGTTTGGGTATCGTGGATTAATGGTAATCAAATAAGCTAGCTTATAGCTTATTGGATTAGCTTATAAGTTCTTGTATTCAAATAAGCTTCGTTTGGTAGGACAAACTTTTTTAAAAAGCCCGAGCTTATCTCACTAGCTTCTTTTCTTTGGGTAGCTTTCCAAATAAGCTCGTTCAAATTTATATTTCAGCTAGCCTATCAGTTAATTTTACTAAATACTTTTATTTTTTTCAGCTATAAGCTTGAAAATCACTTAAAATCTATAAGCTAGCTTATCAGCTAATTTTACCAAATATAGCCCTGCTCGTTTGCAGGTTGCTGGGCTTATAGCCCTCTCGACAAGATTCCTTCCAACTGTCATGAATATATTGACTAGACTTGCTGCTGAAGGCCACGAACAAGCACCACCTACGCAACACTTTGATTCTCGGAGTTTCAAGAATCAAACGCCACAATCAGATTCTGAATCTAGTTCAGTACCAGATTCATCTGTCTCGACTGAAACGAGTTCGGAATACTCGAACCCCCAGGTTAGACACAGAAGATTAGCTCATACACAAGAATTTCAAATCTCTTGATTAAAAATAAAGGAAAAAAAAAAAGGGTTTTTCAATTTGTATATAGCTCTTAAATAATGTCTAAATAACAGAGTTCACTGTGATGCTATCTAATTATGGTAAAATTGTATGTCCAAACTTGAACCTCCCTCTGTTGTATACTGATGTTGTGTTATGATTTACCTATACATCTTTGAGCTTCATTTTATTAGATTTATGGAATATCTATGTGAATACATTTGTGCATTGCTTCTAAAATTACTTGTTTTACGTAGTACATCACAAGTAGCCATATTTTTTTTTTTCAAAAATATGCATATTTTCATTACAAAACGTCATACTTCAAAAAACAACATAAATAAGTATTTTAGTTTTGTATTTTTGGTTACATAAGTATTGTATTTTTGTTCTCAACATATTACTTGCCTTTTCTTCTGTTGTTTTCTCCATTAAAATTTGATTGTATTGTGGTAGACACATATCATATATATCAGATTAATGCATTAATTTTCTTTATGATAATAAATTCTTGACCTGTATCCTTCGACACTACATTACTTCGGGCTCAATTTAAACTTCAAATTGAAACCACGAAACAGCCCCACGTTTTTTGTCTTAAGGTCCACGAATAGGTGTCTATTATAAATACCAATTATGCTATGAATTCTTTTACAGAAAGGTATGCTTATTGAATCTTTAAATCTTATTTTGGACCGAGTATTTATGAACCTTATCGTATTTATAAATCTTGTTGAATTTTTCCGTGGAGAAATGCAATTTTTCGAGTGATTAAATTAAGTAAAAAAAATCGGAATTACTGTAGTATAATTTAAAAGTATTTATTTTTGTTTCGATTTGTTAACAACAATCATACAATCATAGTGTATGGTGGGTTTCACTTTACTGTTGAATTGACACACACACACACACACACACACATATATATATATATATATATATATATATATATGAGGCCCCTAGAGGCCCTAGATAGGAGCCTTGCTTGTATGGCCCAAGAGCCGGCTCTGATATTCAGTCTCATGCTATTGAGTCCTGAGGACACAACGAGTATAGAGGACAATTTTTTGTATTAGAGGGGAACAAATAAAGAGTTGTTAAACAAAACGAATCACTTGTGAGTTCCAACTGAGTTTAGACGAAGTTAGAGGGGAACAAATAAAGACTTTTTGTATTAGAGGGAAACAAATAAAGACTTTTTCAGTTTACACCACTTGTAAAGTTATATTACATCCGACTCATAAGTTTTGACGAAGGTAGAGGAAATTCCAAACTGAGGTTATGCAAAAGAATTACTCCTTAACCCACGATTCTTGTGTAGGTGTCCTTTCGCACAGTTCTCCTTCTTTGAACCACAAAGCTGCAGAATAGTAATAAACACATAATCAAACAAAATTTTTCAAACCCAAACACTTCACTTTGCATCACAAAACCATATTAAACGACTAAGTAGAAATTACTGGAATAAGAATATCCCATTTTCTATACTGGACTTTTGAAGTTCCGAGAGAATGAGAAAAAGGTAATTCTAATTTTGGCGCTTGCAATATCAAAAAGTGCCCACATGCAAAAGTAGCAAGAATAAAAAAACAGGGGAATTTCAAATTTTTCTATGTACTTTCTTGTTGAATTGTTCTTTCTTGTTTCTAGACATGCAATAGCAAGATTTATTCAAACTAAATGTTCAGATCCATCTATTCATTTCTTTTACTGTGATTTTAATACAGAAAGTACTGTAAAAGCATGTTGAAATACAAATTCAGGAAATTTGAGCATTACACAAGATCATATTAGTGAATCCAGAAGACGCACAATAAAAACGTTATACAAAACTTCACCTATTTCCCGTTTGCCATTTTCTGGAATGTCACTTCCATGAACCACATTCCTGCAAGCCAAGGCAGTGGTTAGCATAAAATCATGAGAATCCCTGTTTCGAGCACTTAGAATTGCAACAAAATAGAAAAGTCCACATCTAAATTCAATTCAAAGCTTTTCTAAGAAATGCAAAGTTGTAGAATATAAGGGGATTGACCTTCCAGTATGAACATCAAGATCTCCTCTAATTGTGCCGGGCTTCGCATCTCCAATCAATTTGCGGGCTGAGGGTACAATACCCACGCCCTCCCTGGCCTTGCAGTGACAAAAAAACAAAGCCAACACAATCAATTATAAGTTAAAAAATATCTTACAGGACCATGATGTACTCCATCTGGCCTAATCTTGATATAAGTCTCTTCCACTTGCTCCTGCACAAGGAAGACGAACAAATGCATGATAACGAAAACGAAACAGAATCATAAATTGACAAAATTCTGAATGAGAATTAAAGAAATCGATACCATTGAAGCAACTACGAGTAAAAGGAAGATGTGGCCTGTGGGGTTTGCGGGAGGCAAAGGGGCGAGACCCGAAATAGGTCAAGACATGGGACGATTGGAAATTCCTGTGCATTTGCGGCAAGCGAAGAAGATGAAGAAGAATAGAGAGTGTGAGCAACAACACACAGAGCGCCCATTTTCCTCTCTCCCGGCCCTAATCCTTCCGGATCCCACCAACACAACACGAGTAAAAAAGCGAACTCTATTCAGATTAATTGAATTAATCGCTAATTTCGGTTTTTCTTTTTTTTTTTTGGCACTTAGATTCTTCAGTTTTGTTTACTTGTGAAGAATTTCTTTTCCAAATGTGTAAGAATAAAATGTATTACTAGTATTCTAACCTTAAAACTTTAATTTTTTGTGATATGAAGGTATTTATTTGGATAGGACTCCTGAGATATGTATAATTGGATGACTTGCGTGAAGGAAGAATGAAAATAAAGACAAATAGTGGATCTTCATTATGTCTTCTTAAGTCAAAATGAGAACTGACTGAGAATCAACATCAATAAATATAATTGAACGTAATTGAGTATTGTAAATTTTTTTTTATAAGAAAAGGAAGAAGAAAAAGAGATCATACATCATGCCAAATTTTATTCAGTCCTAAAATCCAAAAAACAATAGCATGTTTAGCTTTTTCCATTGTTCGACTCAAGTTCAACTTGTTAATATATAATAATCAAGCCCAACTTGAGCTCGTTCATCGACACTTTTTTGAAAGACATGAGCTCGGTTCAACTCGACTCGTTTACACATAGTGATATTGTCGCGCATCTAAGCACATGATTCCACTTAACACTGGCAAACCCTAGTATGCAGTGACCTTATGGTAACACTTATTTAACACACAGGCAAAACCCAGTGACCTTATGGCAACACCTATTTAATGTTGACTAAATACAAATAATAAAACCACATATTTCATAAAATTAATAATCAATTTCATTGTATCTTGTTGTTTGTGTTGGGAATTAGAAAGGAACAAAACAAAAATTGGACTCTTTCAGTTTACACCTCTTGTAAAGTTATTTTACATCTGACTCAAAAGATCTAACGAAGGTAGAGGAAATTCAAAACTGAGTTGTTGCGAAAGAATTATTCCTTAACCCACAGTTCTTGTGCAGGTGTCCATTCGCACAGTTCTCCTTCTTTGAACCACAAAGCTGCAGAATAGTAATAAACACATAATCAAACAAAATTTTCCAAACGCAAACACTTCACTTTGCATCACAAAACCATATTAAACAACCAAGTAGAAATTCCACAATTGCACAGGAATAAGAATATCCCATTCGCTATACTGGACTTTCAAGTTCCGAGAGAATGGAAAAAGGGAAATTCTAATTTTGGCGCTTGCCCTCTCATAAAGTGCCTTCATGCATAAGTAGCAAGTATAAAAAAATAGTGAGATTTCAAATTTTTTTATCTACTTGTTCTTTCTTGCTTCAAGACATGCAATAGCAAGTTTATTCAAACTCAGATCCATCTATTCATTTCTTTTACTGTGTGTTTAATGCAGGTAGTACAGTAAAAGCACGTTGACATACATATTCAGGAAATTTGAGCATTACACAAGATCATATTAGTGAGTCCAAAAGACACACAATAAAAATGTTATACACACCTATTTCCCGTTTGCCATTTTCAGGACTGTCACTTCCATGAACCACATTCCTGCAAGGCAAGGCAGTAATTCACATAAAATCATGAAAATCCCTGTTTCGAGCACTTAGAATTGCAACAAAATAAAAAAGTCCACATCTAAATTCAATTCAAAGCTTTTCTAAGAAATGCAAAGTTGTAGGATATAAGGGGATTGACCTTCCAGTATGAACAGCAAGATCTCCTCTAATCGTGCCGGGCTTCGCATCTAGAGGATTTGTAGCTCCAATCAATTTGCGGGCTGAGGCTACAATACCCACGCCCTCCCAGGCCTTGCAGTGAAAAAATTTAACCATAACACTCATCAATTCAAAACAACTTCAAACAAGAAAACATAATAACCTATTACAAATAAAAATCGAAAGAAAGATGACACAGTCAATAACAGCTCCCAGTGCATACCATACAAACAACAGGGCCAGAAGTAATGTAGTTGGTCAATTTGGGGAAGAATGGTCTTGATTGCAGATCCTTATAATGCTCCTGCAACCATCACCATTAAAAGACACTGTAGCATAACCACATAATTAATAATTAATAAGATATCGCCAAAAACTGAATANACAATCAATCATAAGGTCACATAAAAAAATCTTACAAGACCACGTTGAACTCCATCTGGCTTAATCATGATATAAGTCTCTTCCACTTGCTCCTGCACAAGGACGAACAAAAGCATGATAACGAAAACGAAACAAAACCATAAATTGATAAAATTCTGAATGAGAATTAAAGAAATTGATACCATTGAAGCAACAACGAGTGGAAGGAAGATGCGAGACCTGTGGGGTTTACGAGAGGCAAAGGGTCGAGATCGGGAATAGGTCGAGACATGGGACGGAGGTCGGAATGCGGGGAGCTGGGAGGTGCGCATGTTAAGGCTTCGTGCATAGGATAAGCGGGCATTTGCGACAAGCGAATACGATGAAGAAGAATAGAAAGTGTGAGCAGCAACACACAAAGCGTCCATTTTCCTCTCTCCCGGCCCTAATCCTTCCGGATCCCAACCAACACAACACGAGTAGAAAAGCAAACTCTATTGTTTAAATTTACTCATTTACCCCTGCACAAGTATAATTTAAAAATATATTGTTTTTATTAATTTGACTAGTACAACACCTGTGAATTACACGGGTGCTTGCTAAATTTTTTTCTTAAAATTTAAAATTAATGAGAAAAAGTAGTTGAAAATTTAAATACTTTTTATAAAAAATATATATTATTATATATTTTAGTATGCCACTTGTTACTTGTGAGACTTACCTGTATTATATTCTAACTAGTATGAGTCCCGTGCAGTGCACGGGTAAGAGATATTCATTAATATTGATAAATTAAGATTTTTTTATTAAGTAATATCTATAAATTAAAAATATGGAATCAATATTTAATACAATTACCTATATTAATTTATTGAAAATGTAATATAAAGTTTAAATTCTACAAAATTACATAACAATTACTATTTAAAATTAGTACACAACTCGTGGGGTGCACATAACGATAATAAATTACATTATATTCGTTTTAAAATAAGTATCATTTCAAAATTTTTATTCAGAACTTCGATTTGACTGTAATGTGATTTTATAAAATAGTTATTTTGATAAAATGTTATCATATGTTTAACAATCTATGTGAATAATAAGTGTAAATATAAAATTTATTGTTTCAATACTTAAAATAATTTATTTTGTATAAACTATTCAAATAAACAAAAATTAAGTAGTTGAGAATTTATTAAACTATAAATAATTGACTATTTCGTTTACCTCGAAGTTAATATTGACCCGTAAGTTATGAATAATTATTTTTTATTTTTAAATTTTTTATTTTTTTTTCAATATATTATAAACTATGCAACTAATAAAGGTAATAACTACAAGTTTTGACAATATATTATATTCCAAATTTAAATCATTCAACTAATAAAGGTAATAGTCGCAATATTTGACCAAAATGATTTTGTACATTAATTACAATAATTTAGGCGGGATTTTTAAAATTTTGACCAAAAATATTACTCAATATAGTAAATACTTTAGGCGGGAAACCAATTTTTTTTTTTTAGTTGTTATTTCAAGTAAATATCATTGCCTCTTTATATATTAATAGATCTACCATCAAAATTGAACGCTAAAACATACACTATATATACATGTGGTTTTGTATTGATTAACATGGATTTCTTTCGTTCATATCAATATGTTTACCTATTAGATTTAATATGAATGATATAGTCCATATAAATAAGTAATTTTAAATAGCTGTTAATTATTTTTATAATTATGATAACTACAAAAATTAGTTTGATTTATGATAATTCTTATTTTTTTTAATATTTTCGATTAAAAAACATTTTTTTTCTAAAAACTAATTAAAAAAATATAATCTTTCACTAATAGACGATTATAAAAAATGGAAGAATATATGAACAAATTATCACGAACAAAATATGCTTGATAAAATTATGTTTTATCGTTTTCAAAGCTATACATAATTCAAATAAAAGGTAAATATACAATTACCAATTATCTTTAAAATTAAAATTCTAATTGTAAATATTTATTTAATTTCTTGATTGCGCCCAATTTCATTAATTTAACGTTTTTGGTCAAATTGTTAAATTCTGATTGTGCACAGTTTCACAATTGTTGTGAAAATTATTATATACAAATTGTTAACAAAAATCGATTTTTTATTAGCATGAGATTCGGCTCTTACAAAAATAAATAGCATAAGTATATTGGATAGACACAAAATTAAGCTTGATTTTTGTTTCCAAACTTATCCAATACTCACAGTTTAAATTTTTGAAAAACATAAAGAAGATATCACATAAGCAAAATTTTTCAAATTTTGGCAAAAAAAGAAAAATACTCAATTTAGTAAATATTTTAGGCGGGAAACAAAATCTTTTTTTTGTTGATTTTCTACATGATTTTTTCAAAAAACTATCATTCCCTCTTTATATATTAATAGATAATTTTTCTAACTTATAACATATAACTACATTAAACATAAATATATTAATTGAGAAATAAGCGAACCCTTATTTAGTGAACTATCTTTAACTCATAAATATTTGGTGAACTATCTTTATATATCTTTGACTTGCATATTGCATATATAAAATAAAAGATAATTTCATCTACATTTATAAATAAAGTCAATTTTATTATCAATTCAATTTAAAAAACATCTTATAACAATATAAACCATTTTATAAAAATAATAAAAATCTAATTCATTAATACACCATAAAATAATCATTTTATTGTTTCTTTCCATAAATTTTGGATAAATCAAATAAAATAAATTTTAAGAAAAATTATAATATATTATTTTTCAATTTAAATAGATTATATAAAAAATTGAATGTTATTATGTTATTTAAAATAGTAAATATAAAAAATATCATAATTAAATATAATAAAATAATTTTGTACTTCATAAAATTAGAAAAAATACCTTTCTACGTAAATTCTAAATTATTAATTATATGAATTTAAAATACGTACAAAATTAATAAACGTGAGACACTGATTTTATGAATATCTATATAATCACAATACAATAAAATTTGTTTTGTTTAAAAAAAACAAATCAAATATATGAAGTTGTAAATAATATCAGTTTCATACATATATAATTTTAGAAAAATAATTAAAAATATCTTTTTTTTTTTTTGGCAAATTTAGTATAAAAATATGGGCAACATTAGAATTAATTATCACTTTGTTAGTAATTTATTATTGTTGCATATTCATCATACATAATTTCACAATAATAATGTAAATTATTTTAATTTTTTATTGTAGAAATATTAATATAGTTAAAAAGTTTATGTTCCACAATTATTCGAATACGAACGAACTCGAACTTTACGAACAATTACATGAACGACCTCGAACATGATTTTTTGCTCCAAAAATAAACGAACGATGGAATAGAACGTAAACGAACACGAGCTCGAACAGCCCAAGCTCGGCTAGTTCGATTCAATTACAGCACTACATGCAAGTTTATCAGCCTATTGTTGAAACAAAGTTCGAAGAACAAAGATACAATTTTGGAAAAATTACACTTTGCCTACTGAACTATTCTCGATTTTACACTTTGCCCACTCAACTTTTTTCGCTGACACTTTACCCCTTGAACTTCAAATAATCTTGCACTTAACGAATTATAGCCACCGGAGATGCAAAATCAAGGGCAAACTGTAAAAACGCGAATAGTTCGGTAGGCAAAGTGTACTCGTGAAGACTAATTTGAGGTGTCTCCTAAGGTGTAAATGACGATTTTGCCCTTGATTTTGCATCTCCGGTGGCCGGAAGTCGTTAAGTGCAAGAATATTTGAAGTTCAAGGGGTAAAGTGTCACCGGAAAAAGTTGAGTGGCAAAGTGTAAAAACGCGAATAGTAGTGTAATTTTCCCTTTGAGGTATGTAAATTCACTAGGAAGCCAGAAGCCCATGACCACCCAAATGCAGAATTGAATCGAGAAAATGGATATGAAAGGTATACAGCAATTGGGGGAAAAATTAGAAATCTGGACAAAGTACAAACCAGCTTCGAGGTCATGTTCTTGTTTCCACTGGACGCCATCAGCCAAATACTTGTGATTTCCATGTTCTAATTATACTTCATTATGTTCAAAACTTATATCTAGAAGCTGGTGTATTTAAACTACCATCAAACCAGTAATCACAATCTAATTGCTACAGTCTACACAGACCACATCATGTAATCTTCACAGCTAAATCAGATTAGACATGATAAACAATCACCCAAACTTTAAGAAAATGCCTAACTGAGTATAACCCAGAATCTACTGTCTAAACAAAGTTAGAAAAATAATGATGCGATCTTCATAATTGGGGTCAGAAATTGGTAAAATTCACGGGAAAACAGGCATCCCATAAAAACCCAAGTGCAAAATCGAATCTAGAACAAGATTATACAAAATTATACAGTAATTGGGAGGCAAAATTAGAAAATAGGATAAAGAATAAACCAGCTTCACGTTGATGTTTTTGTTGCCGCTGGACGCCATCAGCCAAATTCAGGTACAAAATCGACGGATGAATCTGGCGAGTGTAGACTTGCAGTTCAATTGACGCAATTAATTCCCATCAAAAGTAGAAAGAAATTTTGAGCTTAAGGGTATCTATGAGTTGACGCGAAGAAAAAGAGAACTTGAAAACCTAATAAAGAAGTCTAGAAGGGATAGAAGAAGACGTGATGTAAACTTGGGAGGGATTATTTTGGTAAATTTAATTTCGTCTGTTTGTAAAAAAAATTTTATTGTTACGAAACTAGAGAGAATTAGTGAATAGATTCTCTCTTCTGGGAGTGAAACGATTCTTTCGTTGAGAGTGGGAAACTTCTGATTCTTCTTTGGGAGAGAAGGAGAGGGGTAGATTTTGTTGTCTGAGTGTAGGGATCGGGAGGGTTGGGTCGTAAGAGTTTTTTTAGGGCTAGGGCTTAGTTGAGATTGTGCGATGGACAGAGATTCACCTGGGCCTACTAGATCACGGGAAGCGGCAGAAGAAGTGGAGGAAAGACTCCGCAATTTCTCGTTGTCAGCGAAGGAGAATGCGGATATTGAGCTGGGCTCGGAGGATATTAAGGCTAGTGAGGAGGAATGTGGGCGAAGTCTGTTTGGGAAGGTGATTGGGGACAGACGGGCTAGCTTGTATGGGATACGAAGGACCATGAGCATTATTTGGCGGGTTCAGAACCAGATTGAAGTTAGGGAGCTGGGTTACAACTTCTTTCAGTTCATCTTTGGGACTAAGGAGGATCGTAAAAAGGTAGCTGCAGGACTGAACTGGGTTTTCGAGAACCAGTATCTTATACTTCATGAATGGGTTACAGGTCTGAATGCAAATCATCCTATATTTGATGAGTTGAACATTTGGGTACAAGCGTTCGATATTCCTCTGAACTGGCTGTGTACGGAAGTGGGGTTAAAACTGGATAAAATGTTCAACTCAGTGAAGAATGTTGTGGTGGTGAAAACTGGTGGTCCTGAGGGTCGGTTCTTGAGACTTCTGGTATCACTAAACTTGAAAGAACCCCTTCCTCGGTGTGCTAATATAAAGCTGGGCGATCAGAGAGTGACAGTGCGATTTAAGTATGAGAAGCTAGTTAATTTATGCTTTTACTGTGGCTTCATCGGGCATATCGATAGAGGGTGTGAGAAAAAGATGAAAGATATAGAATGTAAGAATGTGAAGGAGGGGCAGTTTGGAGGATGGATGAAGGCGGGGGATTGGGGGCAGAATAGTAGGAATGGTCAGCACTCTAACCACTCCGGGAACTCCCAAGAAACTCCAACAGGTCAGGCTAATCCTCACTCCACTTCATCTGGAGTGGCCAGGAGAATGCAACAGGTGGCAACTCAACAACTGTTTGAGGAGGAAGCTAGTGGTACTGCTGGTGAGGAGCCTATGTCCAGGTTATGTGTATTCAGATCGAAGGAACCAAGTGAGAGGATTGACAGCACTATAAATCCTAGCCAGGAGAATGATGCATTGGTCGTTCACAAAATGTTGGAACAACAGCAGATGAGCCAAGGGAGGGAGATGGAGGAACACAGGCAAATGATTGTTGGTGGAGTAGCAAAGATTCCAGAGGTGGAGATTTCTACTGAGGCAATGGAGGTGAGGGAGGAGGTGCAATTGAGAAATAATAGAACATGGAGGAGAGCCATTAGACAGTGTTCAACATCTGTGAAACCTATGGAGGATGAAAGTGAAGATCAAAAGGGTAAGGCTAAGAAGAGAGGGAGAAAGGCAGGGGTGTTAAAACTAAGCACTACGGCTGATCTAGTGATTGAAGGGGGGAAAGGGAAGAAACCCAAAGTAACAGCAGATGAGGTGGGGGTAGCCAGCCTAGAATGGCCCCAAAGTGATAAATGAGGGCTCTGGTGTGGAATTGTAGAGGGTTGGGTGGACCCTCTACAGTTTCCCAAATCAAGGAGGTAATTAAACTCCACCACCCCTGTTTTATATTTTTGTCAGAAACAAAAAAATCGAGGGCATTTACTAAGACGGTCTGTAGGAAGTTGGGGATGGAAGATAGATGGAAATTGGTGGAGCCAGTGAGGATAAGTGGTGGATTGCTGTTAATGTGGAATTTGGAGGTGGAGATAAAGCAGGTGAGGTGTTCTGATTTCAGTATTGGGGTTGAATTTAGGATGGAGGGGGAGGCTATGTGGGAGTGGTGCACGTTTGTCTATATGAACACTGATAAGAGGGTGAGAACTGTTAGAGTAGGGTACCCGGCGTTCCAATCTAATTGGATGTATTCTACTTGTAAATACAGTCTATTGGAATTATATTATGAATAAGGCATTTCTTTATCTTAAGAGAAAGCATTTATCTTATAATTGCACTTAAGATAAAATCCCTAGATCACTTATGGTTATAAGGTATGGTTGCGCATAGAGATGGTGATCATGGAACATACCTTGAAAGCCGTGATCTTAAATACAGTTCCAAGTCGATGGATGTTTCGAGATGGGATATCGAATAATCCATAAAAGACTTGCACATAGTTTGTATGCTTGTTGGACAAGAATGTTGCATTCCATCAACATTAGCGTAAGACGTAAGTACATTTATGTGGGTGCTTGTTAGAGAACAAGTTCACTGAACATGACCGTATGAAAATTCTTAATGAAGAATTTATTCAGTCGAATAAGAATTTTCATGTTACAATAGTACATGACTAATCCTAAGACTTGAGGCACAATGGTAACTTTGTGCATATTACATTCTACTTTGATTTATCCTTTTGGTAGCTAGCACTATCGTTTAAAGGGATAAGTTGGGTATTATGTTAATATGTATGGAAGTTTGTTAGTGGCCAATAAAGGATTCGACACTTATGAAGATAAGTGAATTTCCTATGTGTTTCATAGTTATTAATCCAAAGTCCTTGGCCAAGGCAGAGATGAATAGTGATTCATAACAGGGTTAATAAACTTGAAATAGAATCATAGTTATTAAGTCAATTTGGGTTTCGACAAAATCATACCCAAGACTTAATCGGGAAATTAGATGTCGAAAGGATTTTACATGTATGGAGTTGTAATCGGAATAGGTTTACTCGCTATTCACTTAATACTAGATTCATGCTACTTGCTAGGTGTTCCCATGATATGTGGGTTCTTGAATTAAAGGGTTAATTCATGAATAAGAGTTAATGTGATTAACTCAAATTACAAAGAGTTGTAAACCCACTACTAGTATTAAGGTGAACCTAAAAGGTCACACCTATTATGAACAAAGGTGAAAAATTGTATTTCTAAAGAGTTAGAATTAATTGACATAATCTAATTTGATTAGATATCAATTAAAAGGAATATATTAATCAATAAGATTGATTAATTACATTTTGGATATTACTTTAGTAATTAAGGTAATTACTAAATTAATATGTTGGAATTTAAAATTGGATTTTAAATTTCCAAACCAAAATAATAATAATATGATTATTATAATATGGATGTAAATTGGGAAAATGAATATAATAATAAAGTCTTGAAAAGATTCTCAAGATTTATTATTCTATTATTATTTTTATCTTTAAATATGATTTAAGGATTAAAATAATAAATATGATTATAATAAAATGGTGGTTAAAGGTGGTTTGAACCACTTAACATTATTTATTATTTTCAAAGTCAATAGTTAGTAAATTCAAAGTCAATAGTTAGTAAATATTATTTAAATAAAATCTGATTTTATTTAAATATTACTAAATGTTGATTATTTTATGCTAAAATGTTTAGTATAAATAGATGCAAAATGGTTTTGCATTTAAGGTGAATTCATTCCTAAAATTTCTAAGTGTTAGAAAGAAGAAGAGTTCTTCATAAACATCAAGAAAGAGTTCTTGAAAATTCCCAAATAAAATTCATACATATTCCTATACAAGAAAACCGAGTCATTCCTACTAGCGAAGGAAGGTAGTCGGAACCGGGTTTCATAGGGTGGATACGTTTAGAGGGAAGACACTTGGATTCCTAAAGTGAGTAACCTCAATCCGTTGAAGTTATCAAACCGGGAACCGATTCCCACAATCCACATCGTCGTTGAAGGAGTTCAAGACATTCGGTAAATACTTTGTATTTGTATTTATTTTATATAACAAATCAGAATTTGTATGTGATGCATGTTTTAAAGATGACGATCAGTTAATTCGCAATTAGTATGTACGGGTGTTGTATTTATACGATAAATAATTACTTTAAAAAATTTTAAATTCCGCTGCTTAAAGCCCGTACGGTACTAGCGAACCCAACAAGAACTATGCAGTGGAATCAATTGACAGAGGAGAAAAATGATTGGGGCAGGAAGTGGTTACTAGTGGGAGACTGGAATGATATTTGTTGGCAAGAAGAGAAGAAAGGGGGGAGATTGAGATCTGAGGCCAGTATGTTAGGGTTCAGAGGGTTTGTAGAGGGGATGGGAATGAAGGAGGTGGATATGATTGGTCATGCTTATACTTGGGGGAATAATAGGGAGGGAGAGGGTTTTGTGGAGGAGAGAATAGATAAGGCCTTTGCATCTTTTGAATGGCTTGTAAGCTACCCTGCAGCCATTGTGCAGAGTTTGTTTAAATCTGCATCAGACCATTGCATGCTACTGGTGGAGAGAGACAAGGGGAAACCAAAGGTGAAGAGGAGATTCCAATTTGATAAGAGGTGGACTAAAGAGGAAGCAATCAGGGATAGGTTGATGGCAGTGTGGGATAAAGATTTTGAGGGGACCCCAATGTGGAAGGTGAAAGAAAAAATCAAGCTATCTAGATTAGCTCTGAGGAATTGGGACTGGCAAAAGAAATCTAACAGTAAGGAGCAGATTCAGCAGCTCTCTCAAAGGTTAGAGAGTTTGAGGGAATTAGGAGGTGATAAGGACTGGGAGGAGTGGGAATCTATTAGAAAGGAGTTGGATGCAGCATATCAGGCTGAGGAAGTGTATTGGCAGCAAAAGGCCAGAGTTCAATGGTTGAAAGAAGGTGATTGCAACTCAAAATTCTTCCATGCCTATACCATCCAGAGGAGAAAGCAAAATGCCATTAGTAGACTGGTGGGAGAAGGCAACAGAGTGTTCAGTACAGAGAAGGATATTGAGGAGCATATTCATATCTTCTATGACAATCTGTTTAAGTCTGAGCACTCAACAGAGGGAGATCTCTTGCTTCAGCACATCCCACAAACTATAACAACTCAGATGAACAGTGATCTAGTAGGCCCAGTGGATGAAGACATCATCAAACAATCTCTTTTCAGCCTCAATCCTAATAAAGCTCCAGGAGAGGATGGTATGTCAGCCCTTTTCTTTCAGCATTATTGGTCCATTGTTAAGAATGATTTGTGTCTTGCTGTTAGTAGTTTTTTTGAATCTGGCATGCTTTTAAAATCCTGGAATCATACTTTGATTACACTTATTCCTAAATGTGTGAATCCTGAATCCCTCAGCCAATACAGACCCATAAGCTTGTGTTCTGTGATCTATAAAATTATTGCTAAAATTTTGGCTGACAGACTGAAGGTTTGTCTAGATGAGTGTATTGATGTTGCTCAGTCAGCCTTTATTCCTGGGAGGCAGTTGATGGATAATGTGATTATAGCCCATGAAACTTTTCATTTTCTTAATAGACATAGAACGGGGCAGAATTGTTTTATGGCCATTAAGTTAGATATGGAAAAGGCTTATGATAGAGTTGAATGGGAGTGTGTGAGGGCTGTGATGTTAAAAATGGGTTTTCATGGGCAATTTGTGAAATGGATTTTTGCTTGTCTGTCTACCCCTTGTTTTTCTTTTAACATTAATGGGAGAGTGGGGGGTCTGGTGAATCCTTCTAGGGGATTGAGGCAAGGGGATCCAATATCCCCTTATCTCTTTCTGATAGTATCCCAGGTTCTCTCAGCTGCCATTACCAATGCAGTGGGGTTGGGTAGATTTAAAGGGGTTAGATTGGCTAGGGACTGTCCCACTTTGACCCATCTTCTTTTTGCTGATGATTCCCTGCTTTTCTGCCATGCTTCAACTGATCAGGCTTATTTGATTAACCAGATTTTGGGTCAATATAAAGCTTTCACAGGGCAGAAGGTTAATCTCTCTAAATCATCCATTTTTTTCAGTAAAAACACTTCTGAGGGTGTTAAGAGGGGTGTGTGCACTATTCTTGAGGGAATTAAGGTTCAGAACTCTACTAGGTATTTAGAGCTCCCTTTGGGTATTGGGAAATCTAAGCTTGAGACTTTTAACTTTGTTGTGGAGGCTGTGAGAAATAGGATTGTGAGCTGGAAGAATAAATTCTTGTCAACTGCTGGGAAAGAAACTTTAATTAAAGCTGTTCTAAATGCATTGCCAGTGTTTGTAATGAGTTGTTTTCAGATTCCTAAGGGAACTTGCAAAGCTATTACCAACTTGTGTGCCAACTTTTGGTGGAGCAGAGGGGAAGACCAAGCCAAAGGCATGCATTGAAAGCCTGGAAAGATCTTACCTTATCAAAAGACATGGGTGGGCTGGGGTTCCAAGATATCAAACTGTTCAATCAAGCCCTTATGATCAAGCAACTCTGGAGAATATCAACACAGCCTAATTTGTTGGTGAGCAGGATCCTCAAAGGCAAATACTTTGCAAATCATTCCATTTTTGAGTGCAAGAAGAAACCCAATTCATCATGGCTTTGGAACTGTTGGCTGGGTGTTCTACCAATGCTGCAGCAAGGATTAAAGGTAGAAATCAGAGATGGCAGGTCCACTAAACTCACAGACTGGAATTGGGTAGTGAATGGTCCAACTAAAACCAAGCAGGGAACAGTGGGCACAGATATTTGGGTGGCTGAATTGATGGCAAATGGTGGGAGGAATTGGGATGAGAGACTGGTGAGGGAGTTCTTTGAAGACACTGAATGCCGACAAGTGCTGCAAATCAATACCCTTAACCCAGAGGCTGCAGATAAATGGAGGTGGACCTTTGACACTAAAGGAAGGCATACTGTGGCTGCAACCTATGCTAAGTTGATGGTAGAGAAAGCTTTGATGCTGGACAGAGCTGAAAGCAGTAGGGCTGCTCAAAGGACTAAAGAGGCCAGGAGGAGATGCTGGAAGTTAAAAGTGCAGGGGAAGGTTAAGCATTTCATATGGAGAGCCTTTACAGACACATTGCCAACTTTGGCCAATATTCAAAGCAGGGGACTGGACATTGATGCAAGGTGCAGAGGATGTGGTGAAGCAACAGAATCAGTGCAACACATTCTATTCCAATGCAGAAGGGCTCAGTTGGTGTGGAAGATATCTCCTGTGCAATGGGATGACCTAGCTGGTGGAGAAGGGGAGTTTAAAGATTGGTGGTGGTGGATTAGTACATTAAATCACACTGAGGTGGCTGAAAAGAGGATCCAGCTTTCCACATACATCCTTTGGTGGCTGTGGAAAGCTAGAAACCTCTGGATGTTTGAAAATGTGTGGAAACCGGAGAGGATAATTGTGAAGATGGCTGTGAGGGATTGGATGGACTTTGCTAGTTGCAGAGGAGCTGGGAACTAAAGGGGTGGCAGGTTCTATGCTAGGTCGGGTGACAGTGGCTAGGGACTTGTTCTACTTTCATTGTCTTGCTGTTTTAGTTTTGTAGACTTTCTATTGTGATGATGTGTTGATGTGGTGTCTGTTGGGTTTCAGCTCGTGTGGCTGCCTTCAGTGCATTTGGTGTGTGTTTGTCTAGACCAGATCATGTTCTGGTTCTCTCATTGTATCCCGTTTGTGCGAACCTTTTATTTTTCTATGAGATCGTCTATCGTTTGGAAAAAAAAAAATGTAATTGTGTATTGAAGNGTCAAAAAACTAGAGAGAATTGAGACTATAGAGAATAGAGAAACTGTATTCTTTTCAGTGTATTTTTCATTATAATTGAAGCCCCTATTTATATGAAAACTTCTGATGGTACAATCGTAATAATACATTTACATCAAGGACAAAATAGTCATTCACATATATTAAAATAATAACACGAGGTGCATGCGCACCTTATATTACAACACTCCCCCTTGAATGACTATTTTTAGTGGAATATCCACTCGTTTATAACACTCCCCCTTGGAATTACTGCTATTAACTGTGCGTTTATGCTGCCTCGTTAAAAATCTTATCTGGAAAAACCCTGTGGAAAAAAACCGAGATAAGGAAAAAAGAGTACAGCCGCACATACTCCCCCTCGAGTTATTATCTATGCAAATCCCGAAGATGTCTCATTCCAATATTGTGCACATGCTTTCGAAACATTGTAGTCGGAAGCGCTTTCGTAAATAAATCTGCTGCATTATCGCTTGATCGAATGTATTGAACTTTGATTTGGTTGTTTCTTTCAAGCTCCTGAGCATATGAGAAGAACTTTGGCGGAATATGTTTAGTTCTGTCACTCTTAATGTATCCCTCTTTAGTTTGAGCGCCACATGCTGCATTGTCTTCGAATATCACCGTCGGGCCAGTATTATTCGATAGTCCACTGGCTTGTTGAATATGTTGAGTCATGTTTCTGAGCCAGATGCTTTCCCTAGTTGCTTCATGAAGTGCAATGATCTCAGCATGGTTTGAAGATGTCGCGACTAATGTTTGTTTCTGGGAACGCCAAGAAAACGCAGTTCCACCAATCATGAAAACGTAGCCAATTTGAGATCTCGCTTTATGGGGGGTCTGATAGATATTCTGCATCTGCAAAACCGATCATTTCAAGTTTTTTATCATTTGAGTAAAACAATCCCAAATCGATTGTCCCTTGAAGATAACGGAATATGTGCTTGATTCCATTCCAGTGTCTCCTCGTAGGTGACGAGTTATATCTTGCTAACAAGTTGGTGGCAAACGATATATCTGGTCTGGTGCAATTTGCAAGATACATAAGAGCTCCTATTGCACTCATATATGGTATTTCAGGACCAAGTAATTCTTCATCCTTTCCACAAGGTCGAAATGGATCCTTTTCAACATCTAATGTTCGATTGACCATTGGGGTACAAAGAGGATTAGCTTTGTCCATATTGAATCGTTTCAATATTCTTAGTATAATTAGATTGATGGACAAATATCCCATTTTGGACTCGTTCTATTTGCAAGCCGAGACAATATTTGGTTTGTCCAAGATCTTTCATTTCAAATTCGCCTTTCAGTAAAGTGACTGCTTCTTGGATTTCATTTGTAGTCCCAATAATATTAAGATCATCGACATAGACAGCAATTATCACAACTCCATCTTGTGATCTTTTGATAAAGACACACGGGCATATTTGATTATTTATGTATCCTCGTTTTAGTAATTGCTCACTCAAACAATTATACCACTTACGCCTGCATTGTTTCAAGCCATACAATGATCTTTGCAGTTTTATCGCACATAAATCTTTAGGTTTGGACTTTAGTGCTTCGGGTACCCTAATCCCTTCTGGGATTTTCATATAAATGTCAGCGTCTAGCGATCCATATAAATAAGCAGTCACAACATCCATGAGACGCATCTCAAGATTTTCATTATGGCTAAACTAATCAAGTATCTGAATGTAATTGCATCCATAACAGGGGAATATGTTTCATCATAATCAATCTCAGGCCTCTGGGAGAATCCCTGTGCTACAAGGCGAGCTTTATATCTTGTGATCTCATTTTCCTCATTTCTTTTTCTGACAAAAACCCATCTGTATCCAATAGGTTTTATGTCTTTTGGTATAATGGTAATAGGTCCAAAAACCTTTCGTTTATTAAGTGAATCTAACTCTGCTTGAATAGCATCTTTCCACTTGTCCCAATCATGTCTTTTCTGACATTCAATCATAGATTTTGGTTCAGGATCCTCAACCTCTTTGTCAATTTTTGTGATACCATATATGCGAATGCATCATTAATGACCCCATCACGCTTCCAAATATTCCCATTGTTCACGTAATTGATGGAGATTTCAATATTTTCATTTCGTTCCGAAATTTTTCCATCATCTTGATTCTTTTTCAAATTCGAGTCATGAATTTTTCTTTTCTTTCGAGGATTCTTATCTTTAGATCCAACTGGTCTTCCTCGTTTTAAGCGTATTTTTAACTCATTTGGCATATCATCATTTGCCATTTCATTTGCATATAATCTCAATCTCACCGACTCAAGAATGACAAAAGAAATCTCTTACAATAAAATAAGAATAATTCTTTTCTAATGTGGAAGATCAGTTTAAACTGCGACCACATATCATACTAAGAATATCCCAAATAAATAAAATATGCAAGAAAGAAGACACCAAGATTTTACGTGGAAAAATCTCCAATGTAGAGGAAAAAACCACGGGACTACCTCCGAACAATTCTACTATATTTTCAAAATAATTACAATATCTTTTCACACTCCCCTACACTAGAAATGTATAATAGAGTGACCCAGTGAGACACCACTCCTATTTAAATATTTCAAACAATGCTGGTTCNTTTTTTTTTTTTTTTTTCTTTGCTTTTGGTTAGCCCACCAAAATTGACAGTTTTCTTTCTTCTTTTGCCGGCTGGATGCCTGGATCCCACACTTATAAACTATAAGCTAGCTTATCAGCTAGTTTTACCAAACATAACGAATTACGCTGCTTGTTTTCAGGTTGCTGGGCTTATAGCCCTCTCGACAAGATTCCTTCCAACTGTCATGAATTTATTGAGTAGACTTGCTGCTGAAGGCCACGGACAATTAGCAACTACACAACACTTTGATTCTCGGAGTTTCCAAAATCGAAAGCCACAATCAAATTCTGAATCGAGTTCAGTACCAGATTCATCTGTCTCGACTGAAACTAGTTCGGAATATTCGAGCCCCCAGGTTAGACACAGAAGAGCAGCTCATACAGAAGAATTTGAGATCTCTTGATTAAAAATAAAGAAAAAACATAGGTTTGCAATTTGTATATAACTCGTAAATAATGTCCAAACTTGACCCTCCCTCTGTTGTATACTGATGTTGTGTTATGATTTACCTATACAACATCTTTGAGCTTCATTTGTTAGATTTATGGAATATCTATGTGAATACATTTGTGCATTGCTTCATTTCTGTAGTATATCACAAGTACCCTTTTTTTTTTCACAAATATGCATATTTTTATTAGAAAACATCATACTTCAAAAAACAACATAAATAAGTATTTTATTTTTGTTCACATAAGTATTGTATTTTTGTTCTCAATATATTACTTACCTTTCTTCTGTTGTTTTCTCCATTACAATTTGATTTTATTGTGGTAGACACGTATCGTATATATCAGATTAATGCATTAATTTGCTTTATGATAATAAATTCTTGACCTGTATCCTACGACACTACATTACTTCGGGCTCAATTTAAACTTCAAATTGAAACCACGAAACAACCCCACGTTTTTTGTCTTAAGGTCCACGGATAGGTGTGTATTATAAATGTTAATTATGCTATAAATTCTTTTACAGAAATATATGCTTATTGAATCTTTGAATCTTATTTTGGACCGAGTATTTATGAACTTTATCGTATCTATAAATCTTGTTGAATTTTTCTGGGGAAAAATGCAATTTTTTGAGTGATTAAACTAAGTAAAAAAATTGGAATTACTGTAGTATAATTTGAAAGTATTCATTTTTGTTTTGATTTGTTAACTACAATCGTATGTTGGGTTTTACTTTACTGTCGAATAAAAACATATCTACATCAACGTGTTTGTTTGTGTCTGATCTAACGATTTAGTTGCCCACACCGATTTTCAACCCATCGAATTATCATACATCTAGCGCATGTGTTTGAGTGTGATTCGACTGCCCATTCAAATTCTCCCATAGCCCATAGATAAGCATAACTATGACTGTTAACAAATTGAACGTTCGTAAACAAAAGTTTGTTCGTGTTCTACAAGAGCTCGTTCATTTGTTAATTGAACCGAGTTCGAGACTCGTTTAATAATCGAACGAACATGAGTCCCTTCGCGAGTGTTGTATAATGTTCGAGAACATTAATTTAATACAATTTTATTTTATTTATTTATATTTACATTAAATTTTAATAAAAAAATATAAAATATAAAATAATTTATTTAAAAGAAAATATATTTTTAATAAAAAAATCTAAAATCTAACCTATTTCGAGTTAATCAAATATACTTTAAAAGTTTGTATCCTAAATTATTTGAATACGAACAATCAAACTTTGACGAATAATTAATAAATAAGCTCGAACATGATTTTTTGTTTGAAAAATAAAAAAATAAATACGAACGGTGTTCGAACATAAACAAACACAAATTTGAAATGTTTTCGGCTAGTTGGATTCGATTACACCACGAAGCATAACACTAGGAAAATTGAAAATTATGAGGTGGGGCTAGTTGAGTGTACTTTCTTCATTGTTGACAATCCCAATGAATTCCTTTTTAAGGCAATGCGTGTGTGGAGGCAATAAGGAGAGGTTTGAAAATTGAAAAGGTGTAATATTAAATAAGGTGGGTCCTGGTCAAAGTAAAGCCTCATGGCTGTGATTGGATGCATGCAATTTTTTCTTTTAAAGATTATCATATTTCAAAGCATCAATTATTGTTGTTTTGACTGTTTGGAAACATACACTCCTTGTCTGCTATTCGCTTTCGTTTTACATTTTTTCTATCAATTATCATGGTTGAAAATACTTCTTCACATGTTTTGATCGAACTAATTGTACTGTACATCATTTTAGTCGATTCAATATGAATGACTATTAGATGTAAAATTGTCATTCCAATCAAGTGCGTGTTCTGTAAAATAGTTTTTTCGATTAAGTTTGACTCCTTCGTATGCTTAAATGAATTGAGTTATCAACTATTTGAGCTTAAATGCTAAACATGATCAATAGATTGACTCGTGGTGTATTTGCGAACTATGCTATACTCGTTTATGCTCCTCTGCCGACTCATTGGCCAATACAGATGATTAATTATCGCTATTTACCATTTCATAAGCCTTTCAAATGTCTCTAGCTACCTCTAAGTTGTTTGCACCCCAACCTGTCATAATGTGTGATGGTCAATTAGTGTATTATGATTTTATATGATAGATGGATGAGCGATATTATTTTGTATACATTTTCATGTTAAGTATTATTACATATATAGTCAATCAAATTAGAGTTTATCTCACTATAATGATTTTCTTGGTCAAAGATACAAGTTGAGGAATCATATCTTCATCATACATTTTTTATAGATTTGGAGAATCTTAATTCTTGGTTTATTCTCCAATTTTGCAGCTTTCTCTCATCTTTTCTCTCTTCCCTCTCTCGATTTGATAGAGGATAATATTGATCAACTTTGAATTCATAAAATAAATGTGTAATGTATGAAATAAAAGCCTTTGTTGTGAAATAAATTATTTAAAGAAAATTACTTGGATGTCAACATAAAGATTTTCTCGGACAAATATGTAATATTTTTTTGCCACTTTCAATAATTATAACGTGAAAATGTTAGCTCGGATAACCAAGTATGACAAAAAATTTAATTAAACAACATTGCACTTCTGTTAAGTTGTCTATACTCTTTCAATTAATGTACATAGTTGTATGTTCAACTCATACTTTACAACACAATGTAAATAAAAGCATGATAGTTCATAATATATATATATACATTTTTTTTTAAAAAAAAATATGTTTGTCTAACCGTTACGTATGGGCTTAATTAAACAATAGTTATATGCATATAGATAAAATTTCTTGATTTTTCCATGTCATGTTTGATTGAAATCCACATAAAATCCCAAATTTGAATGCAACTTTTTGAACAATATGTTCAACTTGATTTCATTAAATTCAAATTTGAATGCAACTTTTTGAACAATATGTTCAACTTGATTTCATTAAATTCCAAAAACAAACACGCCATTGCTCCCTCACGTGCGCTGGTTCACTGTCCACACACAAAGTTGAGCTGGAACTCACGTGCTCTCTCTTTTATTGCTTCATAATAATAATATGGAGTAGTATTTTGCTAACCCCCCAATTTATTGCACCAACACTTAATCCTCTAATGAAAAAAGAATAATTACTTAATTATTATCATAATCAATTCAAAATGCCAAGCTGGCATTAATTCAGCTCAGTGACCCAGTCAAACCTAACACCTATCTGGTATTCTGGTTACTGTCGCGGACAGGTCTGAGGTGGCAAAAAATATAATTCTGATGAAAAATGTTATATTTTTGTTTGAGTTAATTACAATTGTTAGATTTTTTTTGTTCCATGTGAAAGGAAAAATAAATTGATCCATAATTTAATTACAGCAAACCTAACTCATTATTTGACTACTCATAATATGAAAAAAGATAATTGTATTAAGTGCATTATTTTTCATATTTTTTTAAGTAATAACTATTTAATGATAAAAGATAAAATTGTATTAAATACACGGTATATTTATAATTTATAACTAATTTAATTGCATCAGATTGTATTGCATATATATATATATTATATATATATAATATATATATATATACAATATATAATATATATATATACAAGTATCATGCCTTTCAATGTAATATTTTAATAATAAAATTATAATGAATTCATAGGAAAAAGCATCACAAGGTAGATGTTTTGTTTTCAATTTTCTTTTTTATTGCTAGGTAGATTAACAATTATATAATCATATTTTTTATTATATACAATTTCATTACCTTTTTAATTTATATATAAATAATTTAATTGAATCATTAGATTTTAAGAATAAATAAATAAAACTATAATATTTTATAATATAGACATATACATGTACTTGAAAAGCATAAATTTTTTTATTTTGATTATCCGCGTAGCTATTACTTTTCGGATTATGCGGGAAATAATTACAATTTTAGTCGTTGGCCAAAAACGATGCAAAGCCCAAAAGGGCTACATCGACAAAAATAGATAAGTATAGGGCCAAACATGGAATAAAGGTTAAAAGTTGAGTGGGCAAAAAATCAAAAGGAGGGACGTGTCAGTATATCATTGGCGACAAGTATTACTAAAAGCGCAAAAAATAGAAAAAAGCAGTCAAAACCCCCACACGGGGAAAAGGCCGAGGAGTACAGTCAAAGCAAACACTGTCACGGCGGTCAAACTGTTCCCCCATCACAACTTTTCATAATGTAAAATAAAATTAATCTCTTTAATCTCTTTACATGGAATAATTTTATTTATTTATTTATTTTAGGGAATTTCACCATAATATAAATTATACTAATCTCTTCATATTAAATAATTTTATTTATTTATTTCATTTAAGGAATTTCAAAACATATTCCTATTACGGGTAGATTACTTACGGATCGACGTACACTCGTGTAGATAACTATATTAAATGTGACAATGAAAAATTCGATAACTAACTATTGTACATATATGTGCTGATTCGATGATTAAAAACAAGATAACTACAAATAGGATCTAATGAACTCATATTGTTAAGATCAACGATGAAAATCTCGATGTGATTGTAGGTGTGTTTGATAAGTTCAACTGAAAATCTATCTTCTAGTAAAAAATTAGTGAATAGTTTATAAAATAATTTCGGCTTATAATTTATAATTATGACCAATTTCTTGAAAACTTATTCGTATAATAAAAATATTTTTTTTAAAAAAAAGTTAGCTGATATAATAAAATTTTTGATAAATTAAATTATTGAAATAAAAATTTCTAACAATTTTTTTCAAAATATAAAACGAACTTATGAAATAAGCTCGCATTTCTTTTTTAATTCCATTTAGTGGATCAAGATTATTCAAATACAACAAACATTTTTTTAAGTCCATTTACTAGATCAAGATTATTTAAATACAACAAACTTATAAATTAATAAATAAGATGTAAGTCTTATATATAATTATTTATATATATTTTCGAGGAGTATTTATATAATTATTTATATATATTTGCTGGTCTGTAAAATCCAGAAAATAATAATTATTTTATTTTATTGTTTTATAGGGTCAAGGTTGTCTGGCCCCAAGAAAAAAGAAAAGAGAAAGGAGGAGCCTTTTGCTGGGATGCCCTTTCTCTCTCCTCTCCAATTATTATATCAGTGATTTTCTTTCACTGGATTTGCCTCTGAATCCCCATTGTCACAGGCCTTATGATCTGGGTCTCAATTATTTTCTCCAATTTTCTGCTGCAAATTGTTCAAAATTGAGTCTTTTTTTCCTGGGTCTCTCTAAAGTTCTTGTTTACTTCGTCCATTTTGTGTGTGTGTGTGTGTGAGAGCTTTTTGAGGCTTGAATTTGGAAAAACAAAAGTGAGAGTTGAATTTTTGGGGAAGAGTGTTTGATTATCCATGGTCTATTATGTGGTGTATGATGATGGTGATGAGTCTTTTTGACCACTAAAAAGAAAATCAGATAAAGTGGTGAGAGAGAGAGAAACAAAGATAGAGAGAAGAGAGGTAAAAAAAGGAAGTAGAGATTTGGCCATTGATACAGCACTATTGCTTGTTGTTGTCAATGAAAGCTAGATACTTTCAGAGACAAATTTTCCTTCTCTCTCTTTATCCTTTTCTTTTTTCTCCCCCTTTTTTTTTTCAGCCCAAACCACATGTGCAGTAAGTGTAGATTTTGCTAATGTGCTTTCTTGAAAGGCCTGTGGTTTGCTGATTATGGAGTAGCCTTTTACAAGTGAGCCTCGTATGTGTTATTCATTCAGTAATTAACCTTCTTTCTATTTGATAATTCATTTCTTTTGAGTTTGTTCTAGCTGGGATAATTCTTTCTTCTGGCAAGATGCCTATGTTTCAGCCTGCAAAAAAAGATGGGTTTTCAGGGATTGAAGTTTTAGGAGATGGGCTTGTGTTAGATCTTGATAAAGAGGCTAAAAATGGAGTCTTGGATGAATTTGGTGAGAAATTAAGTCTGAAGAAGATGATTGAGGAGCTAAATTTGCCTGAAATCCCTTCAGTTTTCATCTGCCCAATTTCTCTCGAACCCATGCAAGAACCCGTTACTCTCTGCACCGGCCAAACCTACGAAAAATCAAACATCCTCAAATGGTTCAGCTTAGGTCACTTCACTTGTCCAACCACAATGCAAGAGCTTTGGGATTACACTTTAACCCCAAACACAACCCTTCACCATTTAATCCACACTTGGTTCTCCCAAAAGTACATTCAGATGAAAAAGTGGTCTCAAGATGCTCAAGGAAGAGCAATCGAGCTTTTAAACGCCCTCAAAAAGGTCAAGGGCCAGTCGAGAATTCAAACCCTTAAGGAGTTAAAACGAGTCGTGGCTAATCACACAACCTCCCGAAAAACAGTTGTCGATGAAGGTGGAGTTACAATCCTTTTATCTTTACTCGGGCCTTTCACTTCGTATGCAGTTGGCTCTGAACTCATCGGGATTCTTGTGAATTTGAACCTGAGTCCCGAATCGAAAACGAATTTGATGCAACCCGCGAAAATATCGACCGTTGTGGATATTCTGAACGAGGGCTCCTTCGAAACTAAAGTCAATTGCGTGCGATTAATCAAGACTTTGATGGAGGAGAACGATTTTCGGAAGAAGGAATTTGTCTCCAGCCATCGGCTTTTGCTTGCTTTAATGCGGCTAGTGAGGGATAAAAGAAGCCCGGAAGGCCTTTTTCCCGGGCTCGGGCTTTTGAAGCTAATTAGCATGCACGAGCACGTGAGGGGTTTGATCGTGAGCATTGGGGCAGTACCCCAATTAGTCGAATTAATACCTTTCTTGAATAACAATAATAATAATAATAGTGCAGAGTGCATAGAGATGGTGCTTTTTGTATTGGATGCTTTGTGTTCTGTGTCTGAAGGGAGACAGGCTTTGAAGGATTGTCCGAATACGATTCCAAATTTGGTGAAATTGTTGGTGAGAATTTCTGAAAAGTGTACAGAGTGCACTCTCTCGATTTTGTGGTCCGTTTGCAGATTGTGTCCAGAGGAATGCTCGTTGAGAGCCGTTGAGGCTGGCTTAGCAGCAAAGCTTCTCCTTGTGATACAGAGTGGCTGCAAGCCTTCGCTCAAGCAACGAGCCTCTGAGCTTTTGAAGCTCTGCAGTTTGAATTATTCGGACACAATTTTCATTTCAAAGTGTAAATTAACAAGGACAATTCAGTGATTATGGAAGCTTTTGAGTTGCGAAAATGTGAATTATTCAAGGATTTGATTCGATGAATGTATTTGTACGCGAACAATTACTACATTTTAGCTCGTTTTCGATGAGGAAGAAAAGGGGGAGAAGAAGGCCAAGGAGCTCTTTTTTTTTTTTTCTTTTTTCTTTGGAAATAATTACCGTCTGTAA